AGGATGGGTAGAGAAGGGGAAGTGAGGAGATGAATATACAAAGGAATCCAAAAACCTTAAAGTATCCTGTTGCTTTGTAAACTTTATGACTATAATAATAATTTCATTTTAAGGGATAAGCTCAAAAACTATATTTCCACCCAAAAGATAACTTGAACTGATAAAATGACTCAGATGTGACACAACCAACCTAAATTCTTAGGGTAATTTGGTTGCTATTTGACTTATCGACATATATCCTCTTCCCTGGTTGTTATTGTTGCTGTTTTAATAGCACCCTATTATTCTCTTTTCTGTTTCCTCTTAAAAAATCAGGTTGAAGAATTACACCCTGGTTTTTCTAAGTCCAATTACATGTTCCTGGCCAAGGTAATGAAGACTGCTATTTTAAGATCAGTTTGAATCCATTCCATAAAAATGTGATTACCTTTAATATTGAGTATTTCTCATTTCTAGTGTTATATGGATCTTCAACAAATAAATAATGCCATGAAGTTCTGTCATTTGGCCATGTTGCTTCCTTGTGTTACCAAAGAGGTAAGCCCAAATGGTGCTAATGAGTGCTGCTGTTTTATCAGTACTATTCCAGCGTCAAGTATGAACAATGGCTTATGAACATCTGGAGTTTTCTTCTATGCTAAAACATTTTGACTTGAATTTAATTTGTACTATGAACTTTTTGCAATTGCTATAGGTAACTCTTCAGCAGGAGACCTCTGTATCTTTAAGGGACATCATGGGCAAATCATGGGCTAGCAGTTAAAACATCCTGACACTTGTTAGGTGTTAGACAGCAGGTAATGGGACAAGCTCCACTTGGAAGGACAGAGGACAGCATAACCCCGGGGAGCTGGTGATGAAACTGTGACAGGCAGCAAACTAGCTAGACGGGCTGCCCATTTAGAACAAGAGGAGTGTCCATGGGGGGTGCCATCTTCAGTCCCCAGCTCACAGCGCAGTGTGGCTCTCCGAGGCCATGAAGAAGATTCAAAATGTGTATTAATATTTTTTCTTGGTCTTTGAACACCTACTATTCATGAAAAAGAAATGATTGCACTGATTCTTACCCTTTTATTCACTAATTCAGGATTCTCAGTGCGCTCTAAGTTTCAGGAATTTCACAGAGTAAGTTAATAGCTCACTCCATGTTCCTGTGAGCCATTTACTGTTATCATGGGAACAAAAGGAAATAGATAAATATTTTCCTGCTCCCTTCACATACCACCAACCATTATCATCTTCTGAATCACAGCTGAAAAGAGATACCTCAGAGATAAGCACTCCTTCTCTGCTGGAGCAATGCAAGGCATTTGTTGGATTCTGGAATATAAACATGTAAGACATTGCCCATTGCCCGGAAGGAGTTTATAGCCTAGAAGAGAACATGAGGCACGTATGCAAATAACTAAGCTCAGGGTAGAAAGCATGAAGTGCTAAGAGAGGTACAAGTAATTGGTTATGAAAGTACTAAAAAGGGAGAAATTGTTTTCACTTGGAAGAGATTAGCATTAGAGGAAGAGGTAGCATTAGAGGTGGTCTCTGAAAGACGTAAATAATGTGAGGTGTGGGTAAAGGACATTGTAGGTCATGAACAGAGGTGGGAAAGAAAGCAAAGGTGTGTTTAAGGAGCATTCAGGGCAGTTAAGGACAATAAGGTTGATAAGGGGCAGCGAAACAAGGCCTGCTCGGGAACAGCTCCTCAGGCTCCCCAGACCTCTTCCCCACCCCCGCTGTGCAAGGTCCCAGACTGCCTATACGTTTGGGGTTTCCTACAGGGTTGATTGTCCTTCTAACTTGAATCCCTCAGTTGGTTCCGTTGGTTGATAGTGCAAAACAGCACAGTCTCAGTAGCAGCACTCCTTCTCCAGGAGACAATTTCTGTCAGTTTTTTTTCAGCAAAAAACATTTTTGTCCTGCTGGTTGCTTGCTCTGTATTGGTGATTGGGACCTGCATATCTTACATCTCTCCTGAATGTCTCTCTCCTGAATGTCAGTTTGACTTACATGCAGTTAAAAACTGAGTGCCCATGCATTCTTATTAAAATATGAGATTAGAATAGTCTATGATAATGAGGTATAATACATGGTTAGACATGCAAATATTTATGCGTGAAATACAGATCCCTCACAGGAGTAATGTGAGATATTGATGGTCCTCAGGGTTTGGTCCTTGGTACCTAAGTCTCTTGTCTCCTCTCCACCTCCCCCCTCCCTACCCCCCAAACCTATCTCTATGGCTTCAAATGCTATGCACCTGCCAGGGGTCCTCACATTTGTATCTCTAGACCTCTCTTCTGAGCTCTAGACCTGATTATCTAGTGTCCTGGAGATCTCCACTTGAAAATCTCACAGACATCTCAAACTTAACTTGTCATCAGGCCTTTGGATCTGTTCTTCCTCTGTCTTTCCCTTTTAGTAAACGGCACCCCCATCAACTCAATTGGGAACACTGGGAATCATCCTTGATACCTCCTTCCTCCTCCGCTGCCCATCCCAGACATCTATCCACACCAAATTCTTGGAATTCCTCTTCTAAAACATGCCTTGAGCCGTCCAGCTGCTCTCTCTCTTGCCACCACTCCAAGCAGGACACCACATCCAGCCTCCCAGTTGGTCTCCTCACAGCTTCTTGCTTCCTGCCCGCTCATTCTTGGTTTTCTGTAGCAACCAAAGCAACAGATTAAACATAGACCTGAACATGCCACTTCTCTGCTTTAAAATCTTTTGCTTTTTGGATGAAGTTCAAAAATTTTAGGATGATCTTCAAGGCCCTTATCTAGCTCCTACAAATCTCTCAAGCTTCATGTGTCCACCCTTAGGACATACTGTTCTCTCTTCCTGAAACACTCCCACCCAAATCGAATGTTCCAGTCCCTTCACCAGCTTTGTTCTTACTCATCCTTCAAACCTCACCATAAATGGCATTCCTTCAGGAAAGACCTGTTTGACATCCCCCCAGTCAAGAAAGTACCTCGTACTTTGCCTTCATTTAACACAGTTGTGATTATATAATTATTTGTGTGATTGTTCCATGAAGTAGCAACCAGGCGTGTTTCATTCACCTCTCTTTTCCTAGTGCCAAGTATAGTGCCTGGCATGTAATAAGGACTTGGTAAGTATTGGTAGGAAAAATCAAAAGACTAATACCATACAAAAAAAAAAAGGACTGGTAATAAATGTAACTAAGAAAACTGGACACTATGGAAATACTTATGTAATAAGCAAAATAGCATTAGCAAATATTTTCCACATTAATTACTTTTCTTTCCCAGTGATATGTCCATTTATAGTCCTAGAAGTTTTGGGGTTTTTTTCAAGTAGTAAATGTACTGTCAGGAATATCTCAACTTCTTTTTCAATTAGAAAATAGGATGAGGTGAGTTATCTGTATAAAGTTTTTCCAGATTGAAATATACCCAATTAGGGATTTTGTTCATCAATTTATTCATTTCCAAAAGGTCTAATAGTGCCATTAATTATAAGGAAGTCAACCCAGCCATCAGTTTTCTCTCCCTCATGTGAACTCACAGAACATATTTGCTTCTTTCTTGTGGCACTTGTGACTCTTNCCAACCCCGGCCCCCACTCTCTACTCTTGTTGAAAATGTAAAACAAGCCACAGTTAGCATGGAAATTATCTTTATGGAATAAATCAGCATATTGTGTTTGAGTTTTTGCACTGCATGTATTAATTTGAAAAGAACATATGTCTTGGTTTAGTAAAATTTGCAGAAAGCCAGACATCCCATAAAAAAAATTTGTTGGTTGAGATGTTTATCCCTCCAGCTATCTAATCCCTTTTTCTAACTACAAAGAATACTGGTGTAATCAGGAAGACTTCTGGCAGTGGCCCTAACAGGAAGTCCCACTGTGCTGAAGCAGTGGATCTTTATGAGGTTTGGCTCCTTCCTACCTTTTGACTGGTCTGCCCAAAGGTGTGTCTGCTCCCACCCTGCCTCTGCCAGAGAGTGCACCTTTCAGCCAGTTCACTCTGCTTGTGTAAGGCATGACCCAGAGAAACAGGGTCTGGGTCACACTGGCACCCCTCTAAACCTGCCTCCATCAGTGTGGTGACTACATGAGGGGAGGCTGGGGGAGCCCAGTATATTGCTGCTTCACTGGAGTTGTCTGATGTAGAGGAAGACATTCAGAGGGCCACAAAAATCAGACTTTTTCAGAGGCAATCTAAGGCCTTCCAATGACTAATCTTTGTTAACCAATCTTCCATAAACTGATGAGATAACCAATATCCATAATGATGTTCCTAAAGCTTTCAAGATCCTGAAGTGCCTTCTACATTAAAAAAGAAAGATTAAAGTATATGTGGTAAACATTATTATTTTAATATAAGTAATTTTATGATAATCTTTTAAACCCATTGGTCTCCTAACTTTTTTGATGGTATGGTTGAGTCAGTTGTAAAAAATTGGCATCCCCCAATGTATTTACATTAATTTACTTATAAATTATACATATTAATACTCTACTAAAATGTTCATGATAAAATGTACACACATATAGAGCATTTTAAAGGGTAAGATTCCTTCTTTCTTGATTAAAAAGAAATTCTTAGCAAAGTAGAAATAAAGGAAAACTTTTTAACATGTTAAAAGATATGTATCGTAGCCCGTCATGCTTATTAATACAGAATTTATAAGCATTTGTACAGAAGTCAGGGACAGGACAAGGATGACATTATCACTACTATTATTTAATATTGTTCTGAAGTACTAGCTAATCAGAAAAAAACAAGTAAATTACATTATAACATTTGAAAGTAAAATATATTTAAAAGTAATGCAGAGTAATAAATATCACTATTTATGAAGGTAAATAAACATATGCATGAAAAGCCTGAGAGAATTAACTTCAAAATTATTGTCAACAGTAAGAGAATTTACTGAAATAATGCAGTAAAATATTAATGTGTAGAAATAAAAAACCATCACAAATACAAATAACAGCCAGCTAGAAAATGTAATAGAAGGTAAACCCCATTTACTATAAACACATAACAAAATCAAATAGCTAGAAATAAACCTAAGGATCATGCCTGATAGATCCCCAAAGGTTTGAACAAATAGAAAGACATATTTTGACTAAGAAGACAGCATCCTAAAGTTATCAAAGATTCCTCATTAACCTATAAATTTAGTGCAATTCCAATTATAATATCAACAAAATTCTTCTGGGGTTCTAAAATTCAAATAGAAAAACAAACAACAAAAGTACTTGTGGATATTCTGAAAAAGTTGAATAAGAAAGGGAAAAGATACCTACCAGATACGAAAAACTATTAAAAGTCTACAATAATTAAGGCAGTATTGTGAATGAATAGATGAACAGATCAGCGAATAGAAAGGCTGTAAATATACCTAAATACACATGGAAACTGAATATAATGGATAAATGTGGCATGTAAAATGGATCATTCAATAAATGAGCCTTCTTCGAATCATGGAAGAAAACGAAGACGGGAAAGACCAGATAGATTGTAAAATGAAGCAACAGGTTTAGTTTAACCAGCAGGAGGCAGCAGCATCTTGAGATCTGTCCTCCCATCGCATCATGATGGTCACAGATCCGCTTACGGGTACTGGCGGTGCTGCATGGGCCGTT